CCTGGGGAGCAATGGGCAGGGGCAGCTCATCTCAGGCTAATCCCCTGAACCTGTCCCTAAGGCTCCCTTTTCTCTGATTCTACCCACCTAGTCTCTCTCCTGTTGCTTCTTCTATCCTAGGCCTTTCCTCGTTTCACTGTCCCCAGGTTTAATAAATGTACTTTCAAATTAAAAAACAAGCAAACAAACAAATCAATGAAAATAGCCTTCTGTACTCAAGGTAAAGCAAAGCCATTTCAATAACTAATGATTTAGCCCAGTTTAAAATATGTAGTCCCTAAAGCAAAATAGCTATTGACTTGTTCACATTTATTACTCATGACCAAACAAAGGAACAATTAAAATCTAAATAAAAACGTTGTTAGGACTGAGATGTAGTTTTTTAGAATCTAAGTATTTACTAATTGTTGCTTGGTGATGCCCCTCTATATAAATGTACCTATAAAATATAAAGCCTGGCCAGTGTGACTCAGTGGCTAGAGCATCAGCCTACACACCGAAGGGTCTTGGGTTTGATTCCTGGTCAAGGGCACATACATACCTGTGTTGTAGGTTCTATCCCCGGTTGGGGCGTGTGGTGGCGTGTGCAACCAATAGGTGTGTTCTCTCTCTCTCTCTCCCCACCCTTCCACTCTCTCTAAAAATCAATGGAAAAAATATCCTCAGGTGAGGATTAACTATATATATATATATATATATATATATATATATATACTTTGAATAATTATAAAGGCAGTGTTTATTAAATACATTTCATTTTCAAAATGTAATCAAATCTACAGACATTGTATTTTCAGTTTGCAGTATTTAAATAAGCATGCGATAGTTTTCTCTGTCAGCTTGGTTAGCTATAGCCCCGATTATTCAATCCTGCACTAACAGAAGGGTTGCTATGATGATATATATTTTTTCCTTTATTTTCTTTTATTTTTTTTACCCTCCCAGACCCTCTTCCACCTCCCTCCACCTCCACAATCACCACACTGTTGTCTGTAAACATGAGCTCTTTCTCTTTTTTTCTCAATCTCCCTCCTCCCGCCCCCCTTCCCACCCCAGGTGGTGAAGATATCTTGCAGGTATGATACATAATGTCACACAAGAAAATAGTAACAGTGGAAGATATTGAGGGTTTTTCTGAAGATGTGAAAGGACAGTTGTAGTTATTTAACACAATTTTGATAACATTAACAGTGTTCTATCACTTTACATCTTGGTACTTGTCTAGATTGGATTCTCTAGGAAGCAGATGCTGATATAAAGTTATGAATTTGAGATCTTTATTGGGAAGTTAACATTTGGGCAAGTAAAAAGGTTTGGGCAGGAAAAATTGTCACAATATACTGCCGAGCTGACAAAGTCTCTGCCAGTTCAGCAGGGAGATCTGAAGAAAAGATTGGCCCCTACAGAGGTCCAGTGTCAGGCTAGGCCTATACCTCCACCTGTTCAGTCAACGGCCAAGTGCCACCCTGAAAATAGCATGACCTCTATTGAAAGCTAAAGGAAGCCCCTACAAAACAGCTGGAGTTCCTGGTTCATCACACTCCTTGCTGCTGGACAGAGTGCTTTCTTGACAGGGAATGCAGGCTGCTTACCTCCATATCTACCCCAGGACTGTAGGATGGCATTAATAACATTTTGGTGGCTGTGTATTTGGAGATGAAAATTAATTAGGCTAGAATAAGAGCTGTTAGCGAAGTGCACTAGAATTCTAAAATTCCACCTGGGTAATTTATAGTGGTACATGACCATCAATTCCTTAGGTAACTAGAGTGGTCACCACCACTAGATTAGGGGTTTAAAATATTGGATGTTGCTTAAGACCTCTAAAATGATAACAATATTGTTATTCCCATTTCATCCCAAATACGTTGCTCCCAGTGGGACAACTCAGGGCTTGTGCTTGTGATGGCTCATAACAGGTCAAACTGCCTTACTTGTGAAATGGGCAAGGTGAGCTCAGAATGGCTCTTGGGGGATGATGAGAATCATTTATTTCATAAAAATCAAGAAGAATTTAAGAAAGCCAGATGGGCTCTTTTTGATGCATCACTATTTTTATTTGTGTGTTCTGTGCAAGTTTCACCGTAGTGATGGACAGAAAAACAAGGGTTTTTGTGGGGGAGGCCAAGGAGGGTGCATTATAGCACAGTGCTCAACATAGGAAAGGTTCTGGAGTGTCAGCAATTACTAGTGATTGGGCTTTGGACAGATTTCTGAACCCTCAGTGCCTCAGTTTCCTGATTTGTTAGACAAGGACTACAATTGTGCCGACGACATGGAGTTGTTATGAGGATGAAATAATGGAACACATGCAATCCCTGGCTTGGTAAGGGCTCAATACCTGTTAGCTGTTATTCTACTTCTCTTTCTCCTTCCTTTTCCTTCTCCAATGGCTGGGGGGGGGGGGGGGGGATGCTTTCCAGTTGAATTTTGTCACCTGCTCTCAAGATTAGCAAAACGTTCACAAAACTTGGGAGGAGGGTAAAATTGAGAGAGTCCATAAGTCTGACAGAATTCAGCATGTCTGCTTTTGGCCACATCTTTGTTTTTCACCACTATGATCTCAGTACCGTTCTGTGTGAGGAGCTAGGCGTAAAAAAATGGCTGCTACCCTGAGCAGCAGTCTATTTGAAAAACAAACGGACATATAAATGATTAATGAAAATGAAAGTACACATAAAAGTAAGTTCTAAATGTACTGTATAGACCATAAGCAATGTAGGAATCTAGTTTCATTTTGCTGAAATTGGCTGGTGTGGATTTTTTTCCCCAAAATTATATATGATCTTTTTTATTTTTCTTAATATATTTTTTATCAGTGGCTATTGTTTTGATCATTGAAAGGTGATACCATTTGGGGTGAAATTGTGAGGGTGAGCTCTTGTACAGTAATACAAGGAAATGTCATATGTTTATCTTAGAATTTAAAATACATTAAGTTAGCTCAAAAGAAAGCAAGCTTAAATTTAAATATGATATCATCATATCTTAATATTGTTAGCTTATTAAGGCTCTCAATCACCAGATGTGTTAAGATGGCAAACATAGGAAGAACTGACGAATGCTTTGAAAAAAGACTGCCAGGAAGGCTTAGATTTTTTTAGTTGTTGATTTCTCAATAAGTTTGTCTTTAATGTATTTTTACTATTTTACCTAGCCAATCAGGCTCATCCACTGGCCTTCTTCATTCCAGGAATCCCTTTTGGTCATTCAGTAGTTAAAGTAAAAAAGGTAGCTGGGCCAGATCATGTAGGATCACAGTTTTCAGACTATAGAAAGCAGGTCTTTGGGTTAAAAGGTACTTTACATTGCCCATCATACTCTTCTCCTCCATGGGGAAACATGCTCTGTGCCCTGTGGGAGATACATACACACACAGAGTAGGTCTGGATGAAAAAAACGGGGTTCTATGGAAAGTAACCTCATAGGGTGATCTGATCATAAATTCCTAACTGGGCAGGTTATGTGGGGTAGTCATGCCCTAGACATATCATTTTAGTGAAAGGTTTTAAGCCAGCCCTGTCCATTGTTCTTATGCATCTAGGTTAACACACCTGTTAAATACTCTTCAGCCCTAGCCGGTTTGGCTCAGTGGATAAAGCGTGGGCCTGCAGACTGAAAGGTCCCAGGTTCGAATCTGTTCAAGGGCATGTACCTCGGTTACGGGCACATCCCCAGTAGGGGGTGTGCAGGAGGCAGCTGATCCGTTTCTTTCTTATAGATGTTTCTAACTCTCTATCCCTCTCCCTTCCTCCTTGTAAAAAATCAATAAAATACATATTAAAAAAAAATATCCTAGCCCTAACCGGTTTGGCTCAGTGGGATAGAGTGTCAGCCTGCGGACTGAAAGGTCCCAGGTTCAAGTTCCCAGGTTCGATTCCGGTCAAGGACATGTACCTTGGTTGCGGGCACATCCCCAGTGGGGAGTGTGCAGGAGGCTGCTGATGGATGTTTCTCTCTCATTTATGTTTCTAATTCTCTATCCCTCTCCCTTCCTCTATGAAAAAAAAATCAATAAAATATATTTTTTAAAAAATTAAAAAAAATATCCTAGAGATGGACCTGCCTGCACGCTCCCCGGCTGGGTGAGTAATGAGAGGAAGTGCTGGTAAACGGGAGGCATGTCCTCAGGTGTCCTAGGAACGCGCTCCCTCCCTCCTCGCCTCTGCTTCTGCGTGGCGTGACAGTGCACCAGCCCGCGCCAAGAGACCAATCCAGGACCGCGACACCTTCCCCCGCTCGCCCCACCCGCCCCTTTCGCCATCGCCCACTCGGGACAGGCTGACAACCGAGACAGCGCCCGGGCTTGTCTGACTGTTCCATCTCCTCCCACCCGGCCAACGCCCCCGCCCCTCGCGCGCGGCCGGGCTGCCGCAGTCCCCAGCGAGCATGCGCGACCGGCCGAGCATGCTCAGTAACGCGCTCAGCGTCCCGGAAGCCTCCCCGAGCGTCTGCTGACGCTGAGGTCTTCTGCAGCTCGCGTAGCAGCCAACAGATAAAAAGGATGTTTCCAACCGGTGTACCACGACTGGCG